ATGGAGGTGGTTGAGTTGGTGGTGGTGTTGCCGTCGGTGAAGGAGCTGGTCTGGGTGGCGGGCACGTAGCTGGTGTAGTTGACGGGGATCAGGCTGCAAAGGGCGGCAGCATCGGGAGGGAGGAGGCGCTTCGTGCGAGGCAAAGGACGGCGGGCCATGATGCCGCTGGGATGCTCGGCAAGCGATCCCCCGAGCTGCAGACTAGGCACACCATACGGGGCATCCGCAGGCGACGGGCACTCACACTCCCACACCCAGGATGGTGAGCGGCAGCAGTGCCAGGCAGCCAAAGCCCAGGATGCGCTGCGCAACCTGCGGTGCAGCCGGCGTAAGAGGGAGCAGCGTGTGGCAGCCATCTCATGCCTCGAGGCACAAGTTGATGCATGGCAGCGCCCTGCCCGCCGCCCCACAGCTGGCCATTCTGCCGTCAGCCCGGCCATTCGCCTGCCAACCCACCAGGGCGTCCAGGCCCGCGGATTCCAGCAGTGCCCCATCCGACAGCTTGAACACAGGGATGAGCCAGCTCCAGAGGTGGTGGTGCCCGCCCAGCTTCAGCGGGGGCGGGCGCTGCGCCTCGGGCACCGCCGTGCTAACCAAGCGGTTGAAGTAGACTCTGAACCTGCACAGACGGCCGGAGGGTTGGAGAAGCAGATGGCTCAGGCAAGGGAAGCACGCGACTCAGCGAGCAGAACACTATCCCAGGCCAAGGTGCTGGTTGCTGTGCCTAGGCTCGGCCCGTCGCTACAGCCAAGTGAAGCAGCGCTGCAGCCAGTTCTGCTAACCGCCCCTCGGAGGAGCTGCTGCTGCTGCCGCTGCCGCTGCTGCCGGCCTCACGCACTCTCCGCGCCACAGCACAAAGCCGATGTAGCAGAGGATGCCGATGGCTGAGTTGATGGCAAGGCCAAACACGATCTGGGAGGCATCGATGGTGGTGTTGTAGCAGTTGCTGTTGGAGTCAACCACGCCGCCGGAGCCCGTGGTGCACGACCATATCTGCTCCCCCGCGCTGGGATCGCTGTCGTTGCTCATGCCGCCGCTCGTCTGCCCGGCTCAAGGCGAGCGCCGCCCAGAGGTGGTCGTCTGGCGCCGCCAGCCGCCGCCGCCAGCGACCCGATTCGTGGCTCCTGGGACTGCAGGCACGAAACGATACCAACATCAAGGACTCCGCGGCAGCAAAATGTGCAGAGAAGGAGGGCAGGGAGAGCAGTGCAGCAGAAACACCGCTAGCCGCCCCACAGACATGCCGCACATGCCGCTCACCCCAGAACTGCCTGGTCCCAGCTCCCCCACGCTTCCTGTCAGACGATCTGCTACCAGTCCCACGGGACCAACACTGGCAGGGGAAGTTGTGTGGCGCCGGGAAAAAGTCCGCCAGCAGAGACGCAGATGGCGGAGCAGCGACACCGTTGGCGCAGCGCTTGGCGAGAACTGCCAAAGCTGTTGCGACGTCCCGAGGCGGCCCGCCGCTTGTCCGCTCCAACCGGTGTTTCCGTCCCCTCAGCGAGCACCAGGAAAGCTGTGGGGCTCCGCCGGGAGTTACTAAAGTGGCACACGGTGTCGCGGTCGCAAAATGTGGTCGCCGAAGCGCAAGATGAAGGAGAATGCCTGTTGATGGCGGCGTCCCGCCGCCGCCAGGTCACTGCGCAGCAATCGCTTCGTCCATTCCCCACATCTTGAATCCATCCAGTCTTATACACCCACCATCATCTGCACAAGGGACCCCGTTGTGGCACGCCGACATCCTCCAGAGGCAAGCCCGGAAGCGCCCAAGGCTGCCCTATGAGTCTGCTGTGACCGCTACGTCAGCCGCGCCCCCACTAAGCCGCCGCCAGCCGCGGGCCGCCGCCACCGCCAGCCGCAGCACCAAACGCAACAGTTTGCCGCACGTGGCCCAACACAGCGGAGGTCCTGGAGGACGAGCCGTGGCAGGCGACCGATACGTGCAGCAGCCGGTGGACAAGCACTGGCACACCCAATCCGGCCCTTGGGAGCAGCCAACCCAGCTGTGTGCTGGCATCAGCTCGCGCCCGGCGCCCCCGTTGCCGCCATCTACCTACGCGTAGAATGCACGGCAATGGCCTGTTCCCTGTTCCATTGATCTGCCATTTCTGTTGCAGTGCCCATGCCAACAATCAGCTGTGCCATAGTTCCGGGGACAGCTGTGTGACATCCATCGACTGTGTGACATCCATCGATTGGATTGGACTGTGCTGTGGAGGCTGGTCTAAAGCCGATGCCTCTACCTCTTCTTTCCTTTCTTCCACATGCCGCCCTGCCCCCCGCTCTTGAAGTCCGCCTGCTGCTGCTGCAGGAACGACTTGGCCCGCCTCTCTGCACAGCACAAAGGCGCAGCGGGAGGCGGGTCAGCAGGCGCAGCGGGAGGCGGGTCCGCATGGCGGCACGTCTGTCCGAGCACACAGCACCGTGGCAGCCTGCAGGTGGCTTGGCAGCGGCACCGGCGAAGCGCCACATACCCGAGGCATAGAGCTCTGCCTGCTTGGCCGACTTCTCCCGATCCCGCACATCCGACATGAAGGCTGCAGGCGCAGGGCAGGCAGAAACCAGTATCAGCAAGGGTCAGCACAAGAGCGGTGCAGAGGGGCCACCCACGGCTCAGGCGGCTGCCTGCAGGCTGCCCCTCCCTGCAGCCTCACCCGCGTCGCGCCGCAGCTCTCGGGCCGCGCCCCGCTCCTCCTTCTTGAGCGCGCGCTGCAGCTTGCGCCGCTCCGACCGCTCCCTGCACCGCAGGCAGGCGCGTGTTTGCGCGCAGCGATGTCGGACCAAACACGCCGCCCCGGGTGTGGCTTGCCAGGCGCCTGCTGTTCTGCCAGGCTCGCAGGCCCGCACTCTTTCCCCTCCCAGCACACGTACACACACCACAGACAGACACGGGGGGTCAGGTGCCTGCTGATCTCCCACCTGTCCGGGTCGTAGTCTTTGCCCGTGGCGAAGCCCTCCTCGAACCGCGGGTTGAACTGCCGCTTCTCCCCCACCTTGAGGAGCTGGAGGTTGTACATGGGACGCCGCGCGCCGCGCGCCGCCTCTGCTGCCGCCTCCACCTGCGCCAGCACCTGGCGGCACAGCTGCACCANGCCGGGCGCGAGGCTGGCGGCGGGCTGCTGCGCCTGCGCGGCGGGCGCCGGCGCCGGCGCTGCCGCCGCTGCGGCCTTGCCCTTCAGCTTGCGCTGCTTCTTGCCAGCGGCGGGCGGCGGCGCCTCGGGTGGCGCCGCGGCCGCCTCGGCCGCTGCCACGATGGCGGCAAGGGCCTGCTGCGCGGGTGCCAGGACCTCTGGCAGCGCGGCGTTGCCAGCCAGCAGCTCTGCGCAGCGGCCTATGAGCCGCGCAGCCGCCGCGGCTGCCGTGGTCTTGAAGCCCGCAGAGCGCCAGTACTCTGCGCCTCCCTCTGCCCCGCTGGCACTGCTGCTGCTGCCGCTGCCGGCGCTGAGCACCCGGGCCAGCTCAAGCGGCTCTATGTCTTCTGCTGTGGCGGGCAGGCTGTCGCTGCCGGCATCGCTGGCCACGATGGCTAGCCAGCGAGGCTCCTCTGAATCCAGCTGGCGCTGGTGGCTACCGCCGGCCGGCACCGCCTGCTCGCTGCCGGCCGGCAGCGCGCGCTGCAGCAGCTGGACCGCGAAGCAGAGCGGCTCGGGGACGTACCGCTGCGCCTCGGAGTCCAGGTGTACCGCCAGGCTGGCCAGGTACAGCCCTGCAGTACAGACAGGCACGCACATGAGCGGGTGCGCGTGTGGGCGCGTGTGGGCGCTGCGCGGGCAAACACGACGGCTGGCGTGGCCCCTGCAACACCACGCAACGGCGTCGGCAGGCGGGGGCGCGCCTGTTGCCGCGTGCTGCGGCCTGGCCACCGGGCAGTTGGACAGGCAGCTGCACGCCAGCAGGCCCGCCGGCGTCAGCACCGGGTGCCGCTTGTCTGCAGAGCGGGGCGACGCACGGCGTGCGGGGCGGCTCAGAGAGGGGCCAGCGGTGCGTGTCCATGGCCACCACCAGGCTGCACACCGGCACCGCACATGCAGGCCCCGCGACCTCCACACAGCACACGCAAGCCGGGGCACACATGCGGGCAGCCGCCGCGCGCCGCGCAGGCCGCTGCACCTGAGGCGGGGAAGACCGTGGCGAAGAGCTTGAGCAGGAGGAGGGCGCGGGGCGCGGGCCAGGCGTCGGCCCGCAGCACCGGGTCCCGCAGGCACTCCGCCAGCCGCTCCTGCGCCTTTTGAAGCCGCGCCCGCGCCAGGGTGGCCGCGTAGAAAGGCACCTGCGGGGGCGAGGCGGACACGGCAGCACGGTCGGCGCCTGGGGGCCGGAGGAGGCCAGGGGGCAGGCGAAAAGTGGCAGCACGCACCCGTGCCCGCACGCGGCTCCAAACTGCTAGCAGCACACCCTAGCACACTGCCAGCACCATCTGGTTTACACAGAGGCACAGGCGCAGTCCCTCCCGCAGCCCTTAGGCCCCCCCGCCCACCTGCGGCGTGAGCTCCACCAGGTGCGGCACCAGCGCGTCCAGGTGCGCCAGCGGCGGCCCGCCCGCCTGCCCCGCCAGGCTGGCAAAGTGCTGCACCAGGATGCCGTACAGCAGCTGCAGCCGCTTGCGGCTGTCGGAGTTGAGGGAGGCGGCGTGAACCACCCTCACGCGCCGCACTAGCTCGCCGAGGTCGGCGGCGCCGCGCCCGCCCGCCAGCTGCACGGCAGCACCAAGCATGGGACCGGTGGGGCATGCATCCCCGGAGCAACACGGTGTGGTGTGGTTGTGTGCATGTAGTGCCAGCCCATGGGCCAGGGAGGGGGTGCAAGACCAGGATGCAGTGGCGCAAGGAGCCTGGCAGGAGCCTGCCCAGCAGCCGACCGAGGCGCAACCCACCTTGGCAAACGCCTGGTAGCTCTCCGGCAGCGGCGGCGTGTAGGGGAGGTCAGCTGACACACCAGGCGGCCCCGCCGGCGGCGGCGCCGGCTTGGAGGCGGCCGCCGGCGCAGCCGCTGCTGCTGCCGTGGCCTTGCCCCGCCGCTGGGCTGCAGCTGTCGCAGGCGCCGGCGCCTCCTCCTCCTCCTCTGATTCCTCGTCCTCTTCTGACCCCTCCTGCTCCTCCTCGCTGCTGCCACCAACCTGCTCCTCCTCCTCCTCCTCCTCGGCGCCAACAGCAGCCTCCGCATCCGAGGCTGGCTCCTCCTCCTCCTCCTCGCCCTCCTCGCTTTCTACCTCCTGCTCCTCCTCAGATGAGCCGCTGCCGCCCTCCAGCTCATCCTCTGAGCTGCTGCCATCTTGCTCCTCCGAGCCACCCTCATCTGAGCTGCCCTCCTCTGCAGCACACGGACGGCACACATGATGCTCTTGGCTAGAGCATTTGGTGCAGGAAGCACGCTTGCGCAG